CAGCTGGTTCGGACAGGCCGCCCGGCCGTCAAAATGCATTTCATTCAGTACCCAAATCTCTTTGGAAAGCTCTGAAATGATCCTAAACTATATGCTATGCAATTTTAATATTTTTTGTTTAGGAGTTAAAATTTAATCCCTGATTTTTTATGAATTTAATCACTAAATGATTGGTCAAAATTTAGATGTCAACAAAGACTAAATAGATCAAAGCCATTTCCTCGAAGCTAGTATTAAGGGTGTGCAAAACAGACCGCCTAGACTGGGAACCACTCGGGCCAAACCAGCCGGTTTGGTCCAGTTCCCGAGAGTGTCGGTTCGGTTCTTGATTCCTAAAAGTGGAACCGGTGTCCGAGCGGTTTGATTCTCGGTTTTAAGGGAGAACCAGACTGAACCGACTACATATACTTTTTTTTTAATTTATTCAAAAAAATTAGCAAAATGTGAACTAAACCCATGTACAATGCTTTCCCCTTATCGTTGCACCATAATGAATCTTCACTCATCGTCGTTTCCGTCAATATGTTGAGATTTGTCACTCTCTTTCGTTATGATGGGAAAAAAATAACAAAGTGACCGGTTTCATTGGACGGACCGGACCAGTGATGGGTCCTAGGATCAATCGGTCCTATTCCCGATTGTCAAAATTGAGAACCAGCCCTTCCAGTCCGATTCTCAATTTTATTTTGAAATCAAAAATTGAATTGAGAACCGATCATTCCTAACTAGTACATGGTCTACAGTGAAAATAAGTCCATATGTTCGTACATATTACATATCTTATTCCATACTAAAACGCCATTTTTTCCAAAGTTCTACTATTCATAATAGATAAAATATTATATTTTGCAGGTATACTTGATCGTGCGTGTAATTAAAATATGTCTTGACTGGTCATGTTGTAAATCATTATATAGCAAGGAAAAAGTAACTTGTCATAAGTTGGGGATGAAATTTCGAGGAAGCCACCAGGTTGATTTAATGAGTGAGCGCCTAGAGTTTTTCGTCGGTGGGTGCAATAATTGAGTCCACTAGGATCAGTACAGATCTACACTATTCACTGCCTTCCTTGGCCACAAAAAAGCTTGTGTCAATCATACAGTCCGGATAACGCGGAGATACGCGGTCTTCAATGAAAAAAAGTCCATGTATTCATAACCTTAAATCAGTACAGATCCATCCTTATCCTTTTTTTTGGTCGAGGTGCATGTGCATCCTTATCCTTAAAGGCTTATACACCACCGTTAACCAAAAAGTCACGCATCTCTATTCCCTTAGTATAAGAGCAAATCAACAAGATCAAGTGGCGACCGAACTACTTGAAAACCCTATCAAATCTTTAGCTAATAGTTGTTGCTCCTTGTCGAACTCCATCATCCGATGGCTTTTCCGGTCGAAATCCAAAAAGATTTACAATGTCTTCTTAAGTTTTAGAGGCATAGAAGTACGTAATAAATTCTTCGGTCATCTCAATAAAACTTTAAATTAGAATGAAATATACACTTTCATTGATAGCGAGGAACTAAAGAAGGGTTATATTTCAAATATTTAACACGTACTTATAATTGTTAACCAGATTTATATTACTTAGGCTATTTTTCACTGGATCGGGAACTAAACATATGAACTCCGAGCTGTTTTTTGCTAGATTAAGACGAAGATGTCTTATTCTATCCCGCTATGACTACATGGTACCGAATATCATTCCGAGGCGGCCATGCGCTAGGTTCGCAGTGGAATGAATTCTCCAGCGAGATCGACTTCGCATTGGAGGACTCGGGTTTTTAAGACTCGCGATCTGATCCCGAGCCTCCCTTCGAGACTGCCGGGCCGTCGTGCGGGGGCCTCGAGAAATGTAGCTGGTGAAAGAGGCCTTGCCAATATGGGCCACACATTTGCCTTTAATGGGCTTTTACATCAAATGGGTCAAGAGCCCATCAAACTTCATCGAGGATCACATAAGATGTTCAAAGAGTCTCGATGACCTATCCCTCTCCTCATTCTTCACTTTGATAATCCAATTGAGCGTCGAATGCATTTGATACAGCTAAGACTATGGCGTTATTATATTACACTGTAACCGTGTTGTAAAATGTATTATAACTCGAGTTCTCAGTAATACGTGCTTTAAAGTTACAGCACTCAAAGTTGAATGAAACATCTTTTTAAAAGCTGCTACGATCATGACGAATTTGTCAATTTTCTTGTGTTATTGCCTTTCACTCTTTAACGTATGATCAATATTTGGTTATTACTGACTGTATAACAAAAAAACTTATTTATTCCTAAAACCGTATCACATTTGAGTAACAAAATTATCAGTCAACTATCAAGGGAGATGAACTCCTTCATGCAGATAATATTTGTAAATTCTTATTACATAATGCTTACTTGGGATTGAAGAGAAAAACACTTGCTCATAATCAGAATGGTGGTCCATAAGGTAGGCAGCTTGACCCATGTAACCCAACATAAGGCAAGGCAGTACAAGAAAAACAAATGTAAGCTGCAAAGAAAAATAAATGAATCATATGAACCAGCTTCTACTTCTTGGAAAATAAAATAAAATAAAACAGTAAAAACAAAGAAAGAATAATGAATAAACCGGATCAGATTTTTCGTACCATCGTGTACTTATATAATTTTTTTTCTTGAATTTCTTATATAAATCTGAAAAATCTAATATAAATGAATTGTGTCTTCGGTACCGCCTCCTTCTTTCGACATAATATGAGAGAAACAAAATGAGGACAAACATGATTATCCCACGAATCATCTCTTACACACGTATATGAATACTTCAACTGATGGAAGAAATCGTGTGTGAAGTGATCAAAAGTTTATCGATTCTAAGATCGAATAATGATTGTAATAGTGATGGGATAATGTGGATAGGCGTAGCTTTTGGTAATAGCCTCCCAGTGTACCACCGTAAACATTTATTATTTCTCATCAAAGATTCGCGTTTCTAACACTTTATCCCCGATTTTGAATTTTTTAACTTTGGTGCCCACTTTACTTCCGTGACCACACCTACAATTTGTCGTTTATTATCTAAGAAGAGAATCGAAAAGGATGATGTTTTTAACATCTCATACCCGAACACTACCCGAACACTACAGACAAGAAGTTGTTCCCATTCGTTTTTTGATATTGTGGGAGATCGGAATGACATATACCACAATATAATACTACTGTAAAAGTAACATTTATTTTGTCTACCACTTGCACATTAGAGCTGAATTCCCAAAGGTGCAACTCGAATTCTCTACCCATGGCAACCGAGAAACCCACAATCATATGGCAAATACTCTGCTAGGTTGACTATGCTATAGATAGCAGAGGAATTTATGTCGGTCTGTCATGAAAACGCACAAGTTCCGCGTTCCGCGTACTAGATTTGTTCGTAGAGTTGATCTGCCCACCACCCATGATTTTATCTGGAACCAATGGACGCAGCTATAGAGCGTTTTCCATTAATTCATCGGCAAAATTTCCGATGAACTCTGATAAATTTTGTGGCGATTCTTCATTCCGAGAAATGTCTCACAAACTTCTCGAAACCCGACAATATTCAATGTGCCTATTTCTGACAAATTTAATGGAAGGTCGACTTCTATGGTACACTGCTTGTCATAAATGATGCCCTCCATTTCCTCGCGTCTTTTTCTTTGATCTTAAATCATATGGAATGCTCTTCCTTTGACTAAGCGAAAGAAACAAAAAGAAAGGGAACCAGAAGGCGCCGCGCAGCAGCAGGAGAACAGGTCGCACAGCAGCAGGGAGGGCAGAGTCGCGCGAGGGGCAGAGGTCAGAGTCGCCCGGAGAATCCTTTACCCATCCGAGAGGCCCGCGGTTTGAGGCCGGTCCGTTAGTTCACTATCTCGGTTTCTTGTCTTGTATGTTTGGTTGAATAGATTTAGCGCGTCTTCTTTGGGCCGGAAGTTTTGGTAGCCGGAAAACGAGATTTGGTTGTCGGTTTTAAGTTTTAATGGCCAAAACGGTGACCGGGATAGGCGGCCGGCGGTCCGGTGACGGTCAAAGTAGGTAGCGTTGTTTCGGGGACCGGATGTGTGATTGATGGTCGGAGGACATTCCTCCGGCGAAGCAAAAAGGAGACGTTCGAGAGAATAGATTCTAACTTACAGGGTGTCAAATATGCATTTTGGCCGTATGCTCGAAATGGTTTGCTGCATATTCTAGCAAAACCGAGCTGCAATGAAACAAAAAGAAAAATGTAATTAAAACAATAAGAAAAGAAAATAAAAAGTGGCCAGTTCCTGGGTGGAATTGGGAACTAGCAGGTTCGTTTGGTTCCCGGTTCCAAAACAGGATAGGCCGATCATCCCCTAGTCATTTGCTGTTAAAATTGAGAATGAAGCTTAATCAGGAGGTGAACTCGGTGAGCGGAAGCTAGGTTTAGATTTTGAGAGTTATTTCTTGCTCTGAAATGTAATACTCCACGTGTTCGACTTGTTCTGCCACTGCCAGTATTGTTTATTACATGAGTTCGCCTTTGCTTTCTGAACTTGCTCTATGAAGACAATTAAGCATTTCGTTTTGGGCCTTTGATTTTAACTTTATGATTTGATCTTTGAAGGTTCGGACCAGAGATTACCCAACCGGTATGTATTCTCAGAGGAACTACGGTAATTGGACCCGTCAAGGTCTTGAGGCTGAGGCGCCAGCTGCCTACCCTCCTCCAACTTCCAACTTGCGGCAACTTATTAGGATGTATGGTCATGATAATGGAAATAATGGTCCAAAGGCTCCTCCTAGTGTCCCATATCTCAATTATCAAGAGCATTATTCTTTGCATGGAATCCAAAAGTCCCACCTCTTTCCAACTCCCTCACTTCCTCCTCCCCCCACATACTGGCCCCCACGTCCAATCAATTCGCAGCCTCAGCAGCCTAATTGTCCACTCTTCAATCAAAATTCAGGCCTCATTATTTCATTTCCTGCGAAAACTTTCACTCAAACTTCCACTCAGTCATTGGATCCCCAGCAAATCCAATCAACTGGTGAAACAAACTCCTTAACATTGCAGCAGAAGAGAAAAGAGAAGAAAATGCAGAGGAAGAGGAACATAAAAGAGGCAAAAGTTAAGGGGATATATTGCCCGACCATTCAGCGGAAGGCAAAGGATAAGGAAAAGAGGAAGAGGCTGAGGAAGCAAAAAGAGGCCGAGGAAGCAAAAAGAGGCCAAAACTAAGAAGAATATGTGCTATGAGGACGTAAGTCCTTTGTCAGAGTTGTTGGTGGCTGAAGATGATGTTAAATTGGATATCGATATCAACACAGGAGGGATGTCTATGCAAATTCCGGATATATCGTCAAAGAGGATTAGTGTTGAACCTTCCCAAAACATATGCAATGGCGTGTCCGAATGCTTAGATACAGATACGCCATTTGACTCCCTTGCAAATGCATATGACCTGAGACGACAAAGGAGAATACCTATAAAGTTGGCCCAGTGGAATGTTTTGTAATGACAAAGGGTTAATGGAATTGCAACCGTAGAAATAGTGGGTCATTTGTTGGATAAGAATCCATTCAGAAGTTTTCTTCGTCAAGGATGTGGTGCCTATCTTGAGATGGTGGCTACAGTTAAACAAGATTGATACTATGTATGGTTGCTTGAGTGGAGCGGTGCTCAGCCATATAATGGTTGCTATGAATAGGTGTAGAATTTGCCTGGTAAACAAAAGGTAGAGTTTCTGATGCCTGTCTTTTCCTTTGGCCAGTTTTCAGATGTCCTGTTTATCATATGTAGTTGTCCTCTAGACTGGGTATTCGTAGATTGCCATTTGAGAAATGGGAAGTCATGTCCTTGGTTAAGGAAAATGACAAGTAGTGTCTTAATCGTAGATATTCCATTGGTTAGACTCATTAGAGAGAAATATCTTCTTCCTTGATCCCTATTGTGAATTACTAAAGATATATTTCAATTTATATGCTTTTTGATCTAGCAATTCTCCAATTTTAGCTCTTAAGTTACAAATATATCAAGAGATTGATTAGACCATGACCTTTTCATACCTCTTAGATAATTAATACGCTTTGGAAACTCATTACATACAGAAAAGATGGTCTTGAAACAATTTGTCTTCAGAATGATAAAGTCAATTTGGTGCCTGTTTCTTCTCTGTTTAGTAGAACCCTATTACATGAATATCATTTCTCTTTGCCTTTTTGACCCCTCCTTTTTCCATTCATTTGCTGTTTATGACATTGTGGAATCTATGATTTGTTAAGGTATTATATGTATTCTAAATGCTAACGTTTGGTTTTCAGCTCCAAAGCCTCACAGGCCATGGGTTACTCAGGCTTCTCATTGGATCTGCGTGCATTGATTCTTTCTGTGAGTCCTCTCATGCCCGTGCACAACTTGGTAAGACCTTTGAACTTATGATTCCTTGCTTTCTTGACATCATGCACAGCATCTACAGTATGATGATGCACCTCTGATGCATATTGAATAATCAGTTGCTTGTGCATATTACAAGACAGCTGCATGGTGTGACCTTTCTATACTATAGCCTGTTAACAACGTAATGGCATGTGTTAGGGCTCTATGGCAATGTTTCTTGCTGTGGCACTATGATATGATGCTCATGCTAAGATTGAGTATACGTATAGCTGTAGATTTCCTTGCATGATGGTAGTCAATCACAACGAGGACACTATAGAGGTCTTCAAGATGAAGTTAGGCGATATCCTTGGTCTTCATTCCTGATTCTTGGTTTATTCTGATCATATTGTTCATTGTTCTTATTCCTGTTAGTTAATCTCTTCATTTGACTATAACCTAAGTCAAACTTGCAGTTCAAGGGAGTTCCCATTCTTGTGGTGAATTCATCGCAAACTAATTGAACTATAGTATTCTGACTCTTTGTACTGCATGTAGAGTGCAAATAGGTATGTGACATCATTGGTGGTGATTCTAGCATAATGAGATTCTCTCCTGTTTCTGTGACGGCAGAAACCGTTAATGCTAATTATTTTGTCTCAAGAAGTTAAAACATTTAATAACCATAATTTGTTCAGACAGCGCCTTATGGATAAAGATATGTATGAATGTTATTGACGATGATTAGCATTCTATTCTTTAGTAAGAGGATGTAGTTAATCATGTAGCAATCCATAAATTGTCTTCAAATGATTCAGTGTACTCTGACTGACAATCCATGTGCCATTTACTGCTTTTCCAAACACAGAATTTCATCAAGGGACCGAGAAAGGAAGCATGATGAATGTCCAGATCAGGTCTTTTCCGGATGTTTATGTCTTTATTGAGGGTTGCAGCTGTGATCACAAGCCCATTCATGCTTTTAACTTGATTATCAGATTGTTAAGATAATTTATGGCATAACCCTGTCTAGGCATCGCTTTTTCTGATGCTAATTTATGTCACCAACATAATATGTAATCTGGCTTGATATTTGTTATGAGTTTTTTGAACTTTGAGGCAAATTTAGGCGTGCTATTGATGTGTCCGAGTTTCGTAGTTCTGGACTATATCAGGTGCAATCCTTGATGATGGTAAAAGAGGTAAATGATTCGCATATGATTACTACCATCAAGTGTAGTACGATAACTGTAATGAAGAATCTTCGCATTTGCGGGGATTGTCATTCCCAATTAAACTTATTGCAAAGATTGTTGATCGTGAGATCGTTGTGAGAGATTCCAGCCACTTTCATCACTTCAGGTGGCATTTGCTCGTGGGGATCATTGGTAGCAAGGGCGTGAGGTTATTTCTCCTGTCATGAACCTGTTAGCATCCTGAGTTTGCTCATTGTGTTAAGCATTGATGATAGTAGAGCAGCTACACGAGCACTATTCAATATGGGCTTACTTTTATTGTTGACGTAATAGACAGTGAATTCATGTGGAATCCATGGCTTTTTTATCAGCTTTGGTTAGTTTAGGAGGGTAAGGGAGTTCAAGTATTTCTCAGCTGTATGAGCTTGTGGAAAGTTGGAGACCTGGGAGGAAATCTTGCTTTGGATGGCATTGCCATCCATTGGCTCCATTCAGGGATTTCTGTCACTTAGCTTATGGCTTTGGTCTCACCAGAAAAAAAGAATCTATTCACACGTAGGGTATCCCTTCCACAGAATTAGATCAAGTGAAAAAACCTAGAGCATTGGAAATAGATACTTTCCATCTAATAGAATTTGTATTTCGATCAAAAAAAAATCTATTAGAATTTGGGACGTTCAGAGAGAAGGAAGTACTGCTTGATAAAAGAAGGAAAAATGACACAAACAGTCCATGAACTTTAGCTCAATGTGTAATTTGGTCCCTGAGCTTTTAATTTTTTAATATAATTCTTGAATTTTAATTCAATGTGCAATGTGATCCCCGAACTTTTAATTTGTTCAATGTCATTCTTGAACTTTTGGTACATATTCAATTCAGTCCCTGAACTTGAGCAGTCTTTTCCATTAATTCAAGTTCAGGGACTGAATTGAACATGTACCAAAAGTTCAGGGATGACATTGAATAAATTAAAAGTTCGAGGACTACATTGCACATTAGGTTAATGTTAAGAGACTACATTGAACAAATTAAAAGTTTATGGATCAAATTATATATTGAGCCAAAATTTAGGAATCGTTTGTGTCATTATCCCATAAAAGAAAAGAAAAGAAACCCACCCAAACAAAAAAAAGGTTCCTGCCCTGCCTCCTCTTTTTCGATTGGACTTGAAAGTTGGTCCTTTTCTGAAATGTCCCATCAACTCTTCTCCTCCGGCCCTCTATTAAATTCTTAGAGCCTCTTCGCCTCTTTATTAGGTCTATGAGATATAACAAAAGCTTCTTCCATCTCTGGATGAAATTCAACTTCACCAAATGTTGTCTCACAAATTTGCTGGATCTCTTCAACAAATCGACAGTAGCAAGTGAGGTTAGTTTAATTGTGGTGCCAAAGTTAGTACTCTCATGTTCTTTGTCTTATTCAAGTTGAGCCGATGTTAGTGTTAGAAACCGGTAGTCATAAAGCACAATAAAATCTTAATGGTCTAGCACAGTTGATCAGTTGTCAATGCTCGCTAATGTATTGCACGAGAAGTGGAAACTATTTCTTTTAATAGTGATTAGTCAACTCTTCATATTGCAGTTTTCACTATCCTAAGAGTTCTTTTGCCTTTCCTGTGGATTATTTTGTGTTGTGTGGGGTTGAAATCCATAACTCTTGTGCCATCTATTTTCTCGCGTCTTGCTAATATGTGGCTTGGGCTCGCAATTGCCTGGGTCTTCCTGACCACAATGGAGAACTAGTCTTGTTCGTATTGAAGATGAATTTCACAATACCTCTACCAGTAATATTCTAGCACTACCTTGTAGGATTCCTTTTTTCTATGGATGAAAGTTGGACCTTAGAGTACATTTTAATTCACAGTCCTGATGATGCATACTTGAACTTAGTTTGCTTGCTGTAGGTTTCAGGTTGTGCTTACCAAGCTTAACACTTTCCACAAATGGAAGTTACATTAGAAGCTGGGTGTGCATTAAGAGAAGATTATGGTTTTTTGTCTGACTACTCATGTTCTTTGGCCTCCCTAAACTTGCACATTATGTCAAGACTGGAGAGTTGTCTCCCAAAATGTCTGCATAAACTGGTTAGAATTTTTCTTCTTCTGTTTTACTCTGGACACGAAATGCTAACACTCCTTGCCCTTGAGTTACTTTTCATCTTGCTGTTATGTTTAGAAAGCATGAATTCCATTTGGCCTCATTTGAAGAACTAGTTTTGTTTCGAGGTTATAGGTATAAACTTTGAAGAACTGACTCTTTTGACATCTGGTCATGAATGTTGTAATTCTTTGACTGTTAGAAAGTACTGTTGTAATATGTAGGGTAAAACAGAGATGTCATTTGTTTACATGTGAATATGATTGATATCCAAGAGGTCTAGACTCGTCATCCTTTAGAGCCGTGTCACGTTGTGATTTGATTCCCAATAAAGCTTTCTTAATATTCATTACTTGCTAGCTTGTATCAGATGTTTATAACATAGCATATGGGTAGGGCTGTGTGATGTCTTTCTTCACTCCCACTCTTTCAATGAAGTCTTCACAGAATAGTCATATAGATTTATTTTGTCTTTTGCAGTGTAGAAATGATAAAAGAGGTTTCACTTGAGAGTGATTCGGCTATTTTCACTCGTGGCCTCTACTCTGCAAGAAATAGAAAGAGAAGCATGTTAGTTTGCAGCTTTTTGAGGTACGTGTAGAAGATTTTCATTGTGAGATGCAACAACCTTGGCTATGTCTGTGGTTGATGTTCTTTGATATATGTCTTACACTGTTTATTTTCTTCTATTATTGTTCCACTAGTTCATGGAGGTATATCTCTCTTGACTTCATTTTTGCGTATATACCCTATGGAATTACCTATGGGCCCAAATCGCAGTGGCAGTCAACCTCTGTGACAGAGGCATGGGCAAGTGCTGCTTGAGAGTTTCTCCGAATATCTCCCATGAGAGTTCTCTTACCTGACGCGAACAACCACTTCCGGTTGGGGAAGCCGCAGGTGAAGGAATGACTCACTATGGGAGCGAGAGGTTGATGTTTTTGTTGTTGCTTGCAGCGCTAGGAGTAACTGGCTTGGCAGAGAGAACACGGACCTTTGTTATCCTGGGAGCACAAGAACAGTAGTCTTCCCACTCGTCATTGTTTTCAACTTGCTTTTCGTTTCATGGAATATGTATTACAATCATCGATAAATCAATAGGAGCTAGTTGAAATTGGAAAGCAAATATAAAATCAATTTGGAAGAACATAAAAATTTCATTATTATCAGATTTTTTTTTAAGGATAATCACACTACAATAAATTTTCATCCGTTTTATTATGTACAAGTACCGCAACTTTTTCTTTTACAATTGAGTATATGAACTGTCAAAATATAGCTCAACATGGTGACTTGCTTACTCAGAAAAGAATGATGCACATTGCTATATAGGAGTGCCAACTCAATTTAAAATTTGATAACAATATTGTGATTTTTGTGTTCCATTCCAAAGCTGAATGCCTTTAAGGATCTTTGAAACTTCCACTGTAATTTTGTAATAAACTAATTGATTCACATCAATTTGTGTTAAGTGGCATTAGTAAGAGTGCTACTTTTGTAACATCTTTCGTGGAAGAATTATAAGATGGCCTAGGTCCGCAAGGACACATAAGCTTGAATTTTTGTCTAGTGCTGAAAATTATTTTTTAAGAGTCGATTAGGGAGTTTCTAACACATGAATATTTGCCGACAAGTTGAAAATGCACTTTTTATGAAAAAAATAAAAGAAAAATAAAATAAAATAAAAACAAGAGAGAAAAGAAAATAATAAATCTCCAGCTCATCCCTTAAGTTCGGCCCTATTCTGAGGGCGACGTTTTGAAGCCGTTTGTGGCCTTTGCTGACTCATTGACGACGCCCACAGCTGAATCAGGTCGTTTTGTATCGAATTGAATTCTAGGTATGATTTCAGTTCATTCCTGCTTTGCCCTCTCGCTTTTTTCAGAGTTGCACTGCCGTTGATTGCGATGTGGAGGAGGAATCGAGTTTGCGAGGAAGGTGTTCGATGAAATGACGAAGCTGGACTCTGTTTCGAGAAGTACCTGTTCACGATAGAGATAATTGACGACTCGGCAGTGGCGACCTCAAGCTTTGGATTGGTGATCGAGCGAAAGCAAGTCTCTCGAAGATTGATTCCAGAGAAGCTCGCTGAACTTGCTCGGCAACGCCATGATCGTGTCCGTGGACTTTCTCTCCCTCTCTCTTTCTCTGCATTCCTCGTCTTGGTTACGTGCGCTTCTTCGCTTCTGTCTGCCAATAACGTCTCCGTTGTTGCTCTGTTTCAAAGGCCTGCGACGTCTCGCCCAGGGATATTTCAGGCGCACTAGTTGTCGATTATCACCGGTGCTGCTCGTTTCCCATGAATTCAAGCTCCAGCATGGTTCGTCATTCTCGGTCATGATGACACATACTTGAAGCACATGGAGCAAGAAATCTTCGATCAATTCATGAAGCTGGGTTGTCATGTCATTTGAATCGATTGAATCAGGAACTCTCTAGAGCGTCGAGGTCCACAAAAGCAGGTCCCAAAGCCGGCACTCTGGATTAGGCAGTTGAAGCGTTGAAAAGGGAAACAAATTGATGACGATGCCAAAAAAAAAAGTTGAGTTCTAGGATGGAGAGTGATTTGGAGGAAAGAATCATTATCTTATTCAGCGAAGATTGTGATGTCAAGAAGTGCTAAGGGACAAAGTGGCCAAATTTGAAGCGGGTTTGTATTCCATGCTCTCTAACGCTCTTCC